AGAGTAACCCTCTCCCACCCTATGGGGTCAGTAACATTCCCAGGGTGGGGAGCCCTAGGAAGCCAGCAGCTTGGCTGCTCAGCATCCGGTTGGCCTCACTGTCATTCTACATGAATTCATTCCCTTTCTATGAGCTGGAGCCCTGACTCCTTGTCTTTGCTCCACTCCTGTAAGGAACCCTTCTATTTCACTCTCCTTTCTCAGTATCCTAGTCCCTCAAGCCTGGGGTTCTTCTCTAGGTTCTTAAGCCTGAATCCTGTGTCCTGGAGTCCAGGGTGATCTATTCCTTTGTGTTGCGATCTTGAGCTGCCCGATCTGTGCATCCTCACACATTTATCCTGTTGATGTCTGGAACAATCTTGCCTTCCGTATAATTCCTAGGCGCCTGTGGGTGGTGTTTGGGTAACTTCTGCCAACATATAAGTAGCTGGTAAGTGGACCCTCATATTGCTATAGTGTACTTATAGCTATTATTCAGTGCATGCACAATTAACAGTTGCCTACTGTGTGCCAGGCATCATTGTTCCAAGTGCCGAAGATGCAGCAGTGAACAAAACAGTGCACCTTTCCTTGTGGAGTTTGTGATCTAATAGGAAGATAAACAATGTAGGTACATAGAGTGTCAGACCGCGGGGGGGGGGCGGGAACAAACCATTCGTGAATAATAGGGAGACTGGAATGGAAGGAAGGGGCTACTATTTCAATGGTGGTCAGGGAAGATATCACTGAGAAAATGAGCAGAGAGACCTGAAAGAAATGAGAGAAAAAGAGCTGAGCTGAGACCTAAAAGAAATGAGTCAGAGACGTGAAAACCATGAGAGCCCTGCTGGTACTTTGGGGACAAATATTCCAGGGAGTGAGAATTACAAGGGCAAAGGCTCTGAGGCCAAGTTGGCTTGGAGTATTAAAGAAATAAGCATTCCATTGTGGGTAGAAGTGGTCATAGGGTTAGTGGAGGCAGAAGGCAATTGTGAATAACCATTTAGTCACTGAAAATGTTTTGACAGTTATTCTAGGAAAATATAAGTATTTGGTCAGGGAGGTTGACATGATCTGTCTTCCATTCTGAAAGGAGACTTTTGGCTGCTGTGTGAATAGGCTGTAGGGAGATGAGACCACAAGCTGGGGGGCTAGATAGGAGGTGAAGGCGACAAGCCAAGGGACAGGTCATGTTGCCTGGTCCAGGTTGTTTGTGGTGGGCAGTGGTTGGATTTTGGGTATAACTTCAAGGTATGATAAGCAGCAGGTAATAATGGTTTGAATATGCTGGAAGAAAATAGAAGTCAAGGATGACCTATTTATTTATTTGCCTGAGCAGCTATAACAATGGAGTGCCATTTACCAAGATGGCGGGGGGGGGGGGTTCAATTTTGGACATGGTAAATGTAGGATGTCTATGAGACCCCTGGGATGTCTGTGAAGCCATGCCCTGAACAGGTGCAGGAAGGATCTGGTGCGTCAGTGGAGGGGCTGGCCTTATATGGGAGTGTGGGATGTGGGCAAGATCTCCATGTAGCAGGAAGGAAGAAGGTGCATAGGAACAGATGCACAGTGACTAGAAAAGGGTGCAGTGAAGACCTGGGGAAGCTCTCCTGTAATTCCTTCTTTTTTCTCAGTGAAGTAGAAAGCCAGGTCAGCAGCTCAGAATGAGGGTAGGAGAGAAGGTGTGAGGAGGCTTTGAGATAGAGGAGAAGGTATGAAATAGTCTTCTAGGACAGTGATAATAAATTTCAACTCATGGCGCATGTGCCTGGGTAGCTCAGTTTGTTAAGCATCTGACTCTTGATTTTGGCTCAGGTCATGATCTCCCAGTTCATGGGATAGAGCCCCTCATCTGGCTCTGGCTTTGCGCTGCCAGTGTGGAGACTGCTTGGGATTCTCTCTCTTCCTCTCTCTGCCCCGCCCCCACTCATGTGCATATGCACTCTCTCTCACTCCCAATAAATAAACTTTAAAAAAATAATACATTTCAATTCACGACCTAATGGTGGGACTTATAAATCAGCTTAATGATTGGAGATTAACTTGGTTTAAAACAGTAAATACAATTTAAAAATAGAGTTCACTGCATGTATAAAGAGTAAGAACTGCTTACAGCTTTCTTTTAGCTGCACATGTGTATGTGTATGCTAGGTTGTAGCAAGAATATTTTAAAGATACTGGCCCAAGAAAGTGGTAGAAAATGATCAAGAGACTGTTGAACAAGGTCAGGGACTGAGCTGATGATCATATAGTTAACGGAGAATATACCCTCATAAGATTTTGGCATTGGGTCTGCTAGAAAACCACAACACACCCCCCTCTGGTCCCCCTGCACCTCCACTATAGGAAATCTTTGTTTGAATATTTTCATTGATGGTATGCTCGCAAGCTTAAAAGACAGAGATTTCACGATATAACTTTCCTCTCAAAAAAAAAAAAAAGGATCCTCACAACACTCTCTGAGATGTTAAAGTGGTGAGCAGAGGGTCTGATAGTTGGATTTTGGAATTTGGTGTACTTAATATGAAATTTGACCTTATTGTGTAATACCAAATGTGACAGCTTTTTTCCTGTTTTGGAGGTCTCTAAATCCAAAACAAAACCAGTATCAGAACACCATGAAATCTTGTTTTTATTCAAACTTTAGCCCAGAATTGTAGCATTTGGCTTGTAAATGTATGCTCTCTCTCCTCCTTACATCACACTAACTGCAATTTTAGTGGATGATTGAGCTAATTTTCATGCCTATATTTTCTTCCTCTTTCAAGATTTGTTGTTGGATCGGCAGATGATTCCAAATATAACTTCACTTAGAAAAAAATGTGTTCATTTTCAAGACTGTCTTATAGTCTTCAGTTGTGAAGCAGTTTTTCCCTACCAAATATATTAATGAATAATAGTTAAGAATATGTCAATGGATGCTGTGAAAATGGCCACTTATATTTTTAATTGTAATGAGCCTAGGTTATTTTCTAGACATTGTAACTTAGAACAATAAAAGTACTTCTCCTGTTCTATATTTTGCCTGATTGTTAAAAATGGTTTGCGATTATTAACTCAAATCAATTTTCTGTACACCTGACCAATTTCTGAATCATTTGAGTTTTTTTAAAACCCTTTTTTCTATTGTAAAGGCAATATCAAACTTCATTAGACAGGCTATCAGACATAAATATAATACATGAAGCATAATTCCCTCTGCAATGTTGTTCTCTTTCTACTGTATTCATTTTGATTCACAAAATTTGAAACACTGAAATAACAAAAGCAGAAATGAAATTTAATAGAATGAGGACTCATCACAAAGTACACTCTGCCTACATCAGTACTTTTATAATCTATAACACTATTTAATTTTAGACCAGTTGTAAATCAAAATCAAGTAGAGTCTCACCAGGAAAAAAAAAATTAACTATGTGTGGTGGTGGATATTAACTAAACTTACTGCGGTAGTTACTTCCCAGCATAAATAGATATATCAAATCATTACGTTGTACACCTAAATCCAGACAGTATTATAGGTCAGTTACATCTCGATTTAAAAAAAGAATTAAAAAATCAAGTATTCTGAACACCCCCTCTATTGCTTTTGGGATTGGACTGCATTCTAGGGTTCTTTCAATAGTTTCACTTCCTAAGTGCCAAGAAAAAGTTAAAACTACAAAACAGGATCATTCTGTTATTCTTTATCTAGACCCTCACTGTAATTTTTGTCGCTCTGTTAAGTGCTTCTTTAGAAAAGGAAATACACAGGATTAGCTCCTCTTCTATCGCTTCCAACAAGAGCTGTACCATGGAAAGCTCTCTCCCCTTCCATTTTGCAAGCCTCAACAAGTCTGTTGCTGAGTCAGAACCTCTTTTTTTTTTCCCCTGATGTGAGAAATCTCTCTCACTTGAAAACTCCTAAAGCTTAGGAAATTAAATGTTTGAGTCTCCCGGGGGGGAAGGGACACGGGAGCCAGATGAATGTGGTGAGGACGAGCCCCACACACAGCAGCCCTGATGACGGCATATTTAATGCTTTTGTGAAATACGAAGACTTGGAGCTGGCCCAGGGTTACCATGGGACTCGCCTCGTAACCTGTTAGACGCATACATGTGTGTAAAAAGCCACCCGGAGCCTGGTTAGGTTCCCGGGACTTTGCTCCTCATTGCTAAAGTGACAACGTTTGGTGTACAGCTGGCGAAGCTTGTCTGCCCTGCAGAAAACACCTTCACGCAGCTGCAGGAAGGGCCAAGACGGCACACAGCACGAGAAACAGAAAACAGAAACGAGCCCCAGAAGGCGCTTTCTAGGGCGCCCAGAAGGGAGCACGCGTCCCAGCCTGGGGCGTGGCGGAGCACGAGGTGCGGAGAGCCGCTCGGCGGTCGCACGGCAGGCAGAGCCCGCACGGTCCAGCTGGCCGAAGGGCCCTAAGGGCTGAGCCTGGCGGGCGAGCGCGGCCACGGTCACCTCCCCGCTCGCGCCGCCGTCACTGGGAGCCGCTCCCAGTCTGGCTCTCGGGCCTCAGTTTCCCCTACGGGCCGGCGCCCCCTGCGTCCCAGCCTCATGTGACCGGGGCTGGGGCGGAGGTGACAGGAAGGAGGCGGGGCCGCCAGGGCGACTAGGGAGAGCGCGTGCGACCCAGGGCAGGCTGTGCGCGGACCCCGCGCCGGGAGGGGCCGTTGCCCAGGAACCGCCGGCGCCGCCCGCTCGCGCTCGCCTTCGTGCGCGCGCGCGCGCGCCGGGCGCTCGGACTCCAGTCGGCCGCCCTCCGTCGCCACCGGTCTCTCCTTTCCCCTGGATGCCTAAGAGGCCGGACGACCGACCCCGCTCGCTCCCGCGCTCCCCTGCCTTCCTGGGAGCGCAGGCGCGCCCCCGGCCGACCTGCATATTAATGAGGGGCGGGGCGGGGGCGGGGCCGCGGGGGCGCGGCGGCCTCGCGCCCGCGCGTGCCGGGACGCACCGCGGGGGGCGGTGCGATTGTGAGGTGGCGCTGACGCACGTTCCGGAGTTCTTAAGCGGCGAGGGTGGCGGCAGAGGCGGCGGCGGCGCCCGAGCAGGTCTCGGGAGGCGGCGGTGACTGCCGCGAGGGGTGGCGGGGCCGAAGTAGGTGCCCCTGGCTCCGTCACGGTGTCCCTCTTTCACTGACTCCCCCTCCTTCCACCACGGCCGCGCTGCCCCGGATCCGGCGGTTTCCGAGGCGGGGCAGCGGACGGGGCGCCTCTCCTCGCGCTGCCGCCGGCCTCATAAATGAGGGACTTTGGGTTTGGGGTGCTGCAGACCGCCCCGCTCCGAAGCAGCAGCCCCGGGTCCCCGTTCAGCAGCGGGCCGTGCCGTCCCTGCGCCGCGGGGCCCGCCGCGGCCGCTGCCCCGCCGCCCTCCGCCACGCCCTTCGGCCCGCTCTCGCCGCCGCCGTTGCCTGTCACCGGCTTCTCGGAGGCCGCCTCCCCCTTCTCCATCCCCCTCGGCTGCGGCGGCGCGGGCAGCTCGGCAGCCGCCGCTTCCTCTTCCTCCCCGTTCTTGGCGCATCAGCAGACCATGCAGGATGAGCTGCTGCTGGGGCTGACACAGCAGCCGGCGCGGCCGCTCTCGGGGGCGGCGGCCGCGGAGCAACTCCCCAACCACCACCCCAGCGGCGGCACGAACGCGGGTGTGACCCACCTCCTCCCCTCCCAGGACTTCAAACCGAGTCTGCACCACCCCTCCTCCTCCTCCGCCTCCTCCTGCTGCTGCTGCCGCACCTCCTCCCCGCAGGACTTCAGTAAGCGGCAGCAGCAGCAGCTGAGCAGCCAGAAGAGGAAAGAGTTCAGCCCTCCCCACCTTCCCCACCCTCCGGACTCGAAGCCGCCGCCGCCGCCGCCGCTCCACTGCCCCGGCCGGTTCAGTCCGCCGCCGCCGCCGCCCGGCCCGCTCCTCCAGCCGCAGCCGCAGTTCAGCGTACCGCACCCGCAGCACCTCCCGCCGCAGGACTTCGCCCCGCGGCAGCGCCCGGCAGACCTGCCCCCGCTCCCGCAGCTCCAGCCCTCGCCGCCCGCAGCCCCGCGGCGCCGCCACGGAGGCGCGGGTAGCCCTCGCAAGACCCCGGCCGCGGGCGAGGGCAGCGCCGCCGAGCCCCCCAATGCGGGCTTGGCCCCCTCGACGCCGCCGGTGAACCCCGCGCCGGGCTCCATGGAGTCCCCCAACCACCCTCTGCTCAACAGTCCCAGTAACCTCCTGCCCGGCGGGGCGCTCGGCGCGGGCGCCTTCAGCAGCCTGCAGAGCCCGGACCTTCCGCACCCGGGCGGCGGCGGGGGCGGGGGGCCCCCCGGAGGCGGAGGGGGAGGCGGCTCCGCGTCGCCGCCGCCACTGCCGGGCTTCGGCACCCCCTGGTCGGTGCAGACCGCGTCGCCGCCGCCGCCCCAGCCCCAGCCGCCGCCGCCGCCGCCGCCCCAGCAGCAGCAGCCGCCTCCGCCCCAGCAGCCGCCGCAGCCGCCGCCGCAGCAGCCCGGCTCCACGGCCGCCACCCCGGGTGGCGGCGGCGGCGGCGGCGGCGGCGGCTCGCTCAGCGCCATGCCGCCGCCCAGCCCGGATTCAGAGAACGGCTTCTACCCCGGGCTGCCGTCGTCGATGAACCCGGCCTTCTTCCCGAGCTTCTCGCCCGTGTCCCCGCACGGCTGCGCGGGACTCAGCGTGCCGGCGAGCGGCGGCGGCGGCGGCGGCGGCGGCGGCTTCGGCGGCCCCTTCTCGGCGGCCGCGGTGCCCCCGCCGCCGCCGCCCGCCATGAATTTACCTCAGCAGCAGCCCCCGCCGCCCGCGGCGTCGCAGCAGCCGCAGAGCCGGAGGTCGCCCGTCAGCCCGCAGCTCCAGCAGCAGCACCAGGCGGCGGCCGCCGCCTTCCTGCAGCAGAGGAACTCCTACAACCACCACCAGGTACGGCGGGCGGCGGCCCGGCTGCGCCGCGGGGCCGGGGACCAGGGCGACGGCGGCCCCTCGCCCCAGTGAGAGTGGGACTGGGAGGGCGGAGGAGGCTGACAGGGCTCGGGACGCCAGCCCCCGGCGGGGCGGGAGGACGGGCGGGCAGCGGCCACCGTGGGCTGCGAGGCTCCGGTAGGGGGGTCGCGCTGGCAGCCGCCGCGGCCGGGCGCCCCCTCGGACGCCCGGCGTGGCGGTGGGGGCTGGGGCAGTGGCCGAATGGCGCCCGGGGCCGAGGGCTGCGGCGGGCGGGCGCCCCCGACCCGGAGGACCGCTGTCGGCGATCCGCGAGGACGGGCCGGGGGCACGCCGGGCCGGCGGCCCCGGACGAGCGGCCGTGGGAAGCGAACTTGGGAAGGAAGGACCACGATCACCGCAGACGGTGCGTGCGCGGAGCCCGTGACTCTCCCCCGGCGTCCAATGAGGGGACGGGCGGAAAGGCTTTCTTCTCTCGAGTCCGTTTCATTCCGCGGGGGCCCGCGCGAGGTCCGGCCGGGGGAGGCGGTGGCCCGGCGCGGGCGACGCGCCCGCCGCGCCCGGGGCTCCGCGCTGGGCTGTCGGGCGGCGGGAGCGGGGAGCCCGCCCGCGGCCGTTCCCTCCGCCTCGGCCGAGGAGCTCCGCGAGCCGCGCGGCTTCTGCGCCTCTTCGCGTTTGAGGAAGATTTGGTGGCTTGTAAGGCAAAGCTAAACTGGAATCCGCGATTCGTGTGCTACCTCGAAGGGAGGATTCACATATTTTGGCAGCTTTAACCTTTTCGTGAATTACGGGCTGTGTATATTTTGAGTGGCTTAATGCAATTATGAAATAAGGGGCAGGTTTTTTTTTTTTTTTAATTCATCCGGGTCCTTTCCGATTCAAGCTCTTGTTTTGTTATGTCCCCAATACGGTGTTTGAATGACCGCTGGCTTGGTTCATTGACATTGAAAAGAGTATTTTGTTGTCTTTTTTTTTTTTTCCTATTGGATCCAGTCAGCGTTTCTTGTAGTGTGGTTCGTGTGTTTAAGGTCACTTTTGTGATCAGGGACTGAGACAGAAGCAAAATTGGACCTTAACCGGTGCTTGCTTACTCCTGTAACTTTTTCCGTTGACCAGTTAAAGTTTTCAAAGGTTAACCTTTTAAAGGGTGACTACAGTCTAACCAAAGTAACAGTTAAGAGTTCTCTTAAATTGATCAAAGTTAGCAGTCTTTATTTCGAGTCCCTGGTGCCTCCCCTGAGGAGGGAGAATGTGGCCTACGAGGATTGAAAATACGTAATTTTGAAAGAGTATTCCCCTTTCCCATGATTTTCATAATCTCGAGGAGCTGTCTTCTGTGTGTCAGGGTCTTCATTGTTTCACTGCAAACTTGCCACAGAAAATTACTGCGAGGCGCTTTTGTGTCCTTAGAGCCATGATACAGAACATGGGAAGACCATGTGCCATGATTCGTATTTAACCGTAATCTGCTTTTTGTCAGAAGATGGTTCTCGCAGTGAAGTTTAAGAGGTCACACAGCTGTCATATGGAATTTTAGATCACTGGAGGAGAACTTGAACCCTGTATCAGTAAGGAAAGTGAGGCCTTCACGAATGAGGTGATGTCCTCATGGTCCCTGAGCTGTGCCTTTGAACTGGGTGGAGGGCGAAATGGCAGCATATATTCGTGATTACATTGGCATTAAAAAAGTTTTTTTAATAGTTTCTATAGATCAAGTTCTTTAAAAAGAAGAAAGAAAGCTGTCTTACAAGAAGCAGGTTTCGTCTGAAGAATACTTGGCTTGTAGAACTTATTGACATGTATAGTAACTGCATGGTCCATACTTCCTTTGGCTAAATGTTAGGACAAGCTTACTGACAGCGTAACTGCTAGCAATTAGTATTTTCAGAAACCTGCCGTTATTGCCTCTTGGTGAATTTTCCGTTCTTTGGTGACTAAACTTCTATCATAGGTCCTAGTTTGGAATAGAATGTATTTTTGAAAATGAATGAAGTTAATGGAGACTTGTATTATTAAGGTCTCTGCTAGAATAATGAAAGCACATAGTTGTTTTTCTTTAGTACATCTCAGTGGATCCACCTATGGGTAACATCAGATAATTGCTTAACATGGATAATTAAATGAAAGAAAACCAAAAACACTGTAAAAGAAACTACATTAAAATTGGAATAAAATATCTAAAAGTTGAATACACAATACCAGAAAAAGCAAGAAAAAACCCAACCCACATATTTCCCATGCACCCCCTATTCCGAAAGACGATTTTAGTTCATGCAAGATAATAACACCAAATGTTATTACAATCATTCACTTTTGTAGTGGTGCCGTTGGTTTTGGAAACCTAAAGTCTAAACATCTTACTCCTGTTGTTACTCATATCTATTAATTAAAGACCAGATTTTTAATTGTATGCCTAGCAGAATATGGTTGCTTTAAAATCACGATGTAGATTATATTTTCAAGGATCTTTGAAGTTAATTTCAATTTTAAAGTATTTATTTTTTCTTCTTACGTACATGATTCTGAAAGGACAGAAATGTAACTGCCTGGTTCTATTTTAGCAATTGTCATGAAATATCTGCTCGATTCATTATAACTTACAGTGGGCCAGAGGATGAAAACTCACCTAGCAGTAAAGGAGTATGTTTTCATACAGCAAGATCACAAACTTACTACTTTTCATAAACTAATAAGATATGTTTTATTGTCTTTAGAGATTTTTTAAAGATGATGTATATATTCTTAGCTCAGGCCTAAATTTGAGTTTGAATTATAAACTCTTGAAACGCCTATAATTTAAACAGATGTGTTTTTCTCAGCCTCTTCTGAAACAATCTCCTTGGAGCAACCATCAGAGCAGTGGCTGGGGCACTGGAAGTGTGTCGTGGGGAGCAATGCACGGCAGAGACCATCGCAGAACTGGAAACATGGGGATTCCAGGAACTATGAATCAGATATCTCCACTGAAGAAACCATTTTCTGGTAATGTCATAGCACCACCGAAATTTACTCGCTCTACTCCATCCCTGACTCCAAAATCTTGGATTGAAGATAACGTGTTCAGAACCGACAACAATAGTAATACACTCTTACCCTTACAGGTAAGAATGGTATGTAAATGGTCTTATTTCTAATGTTTATCTTTCAAAATAGGAAATTGGGTGGTGGTGGTAGTAGTAGTGGTAGTAGTAGTAGTAATAGTAGTAGCGTTAGTAGTAGTCATAGTAATAGTAGCAGTATGGTAAAATTGACAGATTAAAAAATAAAAAATTTCTAATTTTAAGCATATAATTTAAGAATAAAATACAAAATGATAGAGAAAATGGATATTGTACAGAATTCTCTAAACACACGGTAGAAAAGAAGCTTCCTAAAATGTAGAAAAATCTGCTTTTTCTCCAGTGCATATTGAAGCTTTTAATTGGCAGCTCAAGAATGCCTTAATTTATTAATGTTTAATAGGCCACCAAAATGAGTTTCTCCTCCAGTATAACTAAGCTAAAATGTTAAGCAATTGTGTGTAGGTTTGCCTGTGATCAGCTGTATGTATATTAGAATATACCTAATACAGCTGTGATTATGGCAAAATAATATGAGAGCTTTTTGCATCAAATTAAAATTTGTCGTCACTGGTTCAGTGACTATTTTTTCCTAAATGTGGCCTAATACTTAGGATGATTGGACATTTTTTCAGGCCTTTTTAAATGCTTTATTCATATTATAGTCTAACAAAGGGCCTCATAGGTATTTACGATGAGACTTTTTTTTTTCTCCTGAGACCGTTAGAGGACCAAAGATACAAGATAGAAGGAACTTTGATTGTTTTATTTTCTTTCTTTCTTTTCTTTTTTTTTTTTTTTTTTTTTTTTGTGGGTGGGTGTGGGGAAGAGAACTGCTTATTTCTGATGAAAACTTCTATGCTATTGAAGGTGAGATCTAGTTTGCAGTTACCAGCTTGGGGCTCAGATTCACTCCAAGATAGTTGGTGCACTGCAGCCGGAACATCCAGAATAGACCAGGTAGGCTGCACAGTGTATATTCTTCAGGATCTTGACTAGGAGTTTAGTGTATATATTATGAGTAAGATTTATTATTAACTTTCCAATTATACCTTTTTAAAGCCTATGTCAGAGAGCATTAAAACTATTTTTAAAAGGTCACTTGACTTAACTATCTAATATAAAATGCTTCATTTTCAAATTTATAAGTAATTTATAATTATTTTATTTTACTATTTCCAAGAGTTAAAATTTTGTTTTTGGAAAAAGGAATTATATACCCAGGAGCACCTGACTTTAAACATCAGTCAAACTGAACAGATTTTATCTTTCAGAGTTGTATTCAGTTAGGGACAAAACTACGGATTTGCGTATCATTCAATTTTAAGTGTCATCAGTGTTTCACAGAATTTTTTAGTCACTTCTTGTCATGAAATCTGCTATATTTGTCTTGAGGCATATTTCTAAAAAAGCCAATCTTTAATTTTTTCACCTTTATAAAAACCTTCATGTGTAGTATTTCTTTATTCTAAAATTTGTCACTGCTCATATATACTATCTTCTTGCATATTATCAGTTTCCTATAGAAAAACCGTAAATCAGAAAGCTAGGAATCAGTCTTAATCAAATTACCTTCAAGTCCTTTGTGGTTACAAATTGCTATCTCTTTTCCTACAGACTAAATTTGGATTCAAACTGGGTACCCAGTGGTGAGAATTATTACAGTATGAGTAGCAAACTCAGTCCTCCATGAGGATTCTTTACTACAGAGCTGAAGCTTGAATGAGCATAGACTTGACATTGTGGGAGCCCACTGAATGGAGCTATGTTATCTTTAGCTAAGGCTCTTCTTTAGTTAATTTATCAACATGAGATGATTTTACAAGTAAGAACTGTATAAATAGATTAATAATATGTTTTTAAATCGCTTTCTAACCTGGAGAGTTAGGAGTAACTTCAATAATCTACATTAGCACTTATTTTAGACAGGTCCTACCTATTTACCAAAATAGTCCTGCCAGGATCTCCACTTAGAAATAAGTAGTTATCTCATGTAAATTGTCATTTATTGTTTTGTTAATAATGTAAGTTAGCTCTCCATGTGTTTCTACTCTCTTCTCCACTCTGGCTCAGTTAGGCCATATTAGTGACATTTTTATGGTCGCCCTTTTATGTCGTTCAAATTGAATACGTAAATGCCTAGGAGACGGTATGTTTGAAGAGGAAAATTAGGATAATCATTTTGAAGGTGGCAAGGGACTTGTTTTTAGAAAGGAAGAGACCTAATTATTTGAAGAGCAGGTGTAAGAAGAAGCAGGAGTATCCGTCTATAAGGGATATTAACTGTGGAGAAGAAAGAAGACAGACTAACTGTCACAAAGGGACCCCGGGGGCGGGGGCACATGTTGGGAAATGAGGTTATTGAGATGGTGTCAGCGGGTGGCGTGCTGCAGTGGATAGAAGTGATGACGAAAAAATGAGTTTTCAAACTGGGCTCTACAGAGGTGCCCTTGGGCTGCTCTAAGAGCAGCGCCTCTAGCGCTCCCACGTAGACGTCCGTCAAAGCCTCTCTTACCTGTGTTATAACCGAGTGTTTCACATAAATTCATTTTACCAAAAATGATTTAGGTGCTTAAAGATAGTTTTTTTTTTTTTTCCTTTTGGTTAAGTGTTGAGATATTGGCATTCCCTGCAGACCCTTGAAGCAGAGGTGCGATGTGACGAAGTTGAAGCGTGGTGAAGAAGACGGTAGTGGAAAGTGAACTGACCTAGAAAGAAAGGAGGTCTGAAACCTGAACCTCCTTCCTCTTTCTCAATCTTTATGACATCGGAGGGTATAGTTTATGGGCTTTCATCTCTTTGGGTCATAGTTTCCTGATCTATAAAAGGAGAACCTTGAACTAGATCATGTAAGGCCTTTTGAGCCAGCTCTTACACTTTCTCTGATCCATTTTGGCCATTTCTTTTCCTCCTTATGCCCTCACCCCCCACATACTTTATTTTTAGACTACAAGGGTCTTGGTTTATTGGGGAGAAGGGGTGGGAATTGGACTGAAGCAGTCTAGGTGTACTGTATGGGCTCCCAAATAGTCTTAAAAGCAATGTTGTTCTCTCTTTTGAGTGCCCTACGGTACTTACTATACAAAATTTGTTCTGTGTTTCTATCTTTCCATAAAAGGTTGAGGTATTTGGAGTTGAGGTTCTTAAAAATACAGCAACAGCTACAAACTTTAATTGGTATCTTAAACCATTGGATAGTTTCTCACTATTTGGCAAAGTTAAAATTACAGAAAATTCTTAAGCACTTAAATATCTGGGGAAATGTTTTCATTCTGACATTTCCCCCACAACGTACAACATTTTAATACTAATAAATCTCAGTTAACAAATAATTATTTTAAAACATTTAACTTTCTTTTTCTTTTAGTCTCAAATTGAGTAGGCCTATAAAATATACTGAATTTTAAAACCAGAGACTTAATTCTTGTACCTGCGTACTTGAGGCCTTACCTATACCAAGAACTGGACATGTAATTAATATTCAGTAAATGGGAAAGAAATAGTTTTGTAGATTGGTTTTATTTCAGTTGTATATAATGTTTTTAGGGTTGGTTGGCATTCCCTTATTTTAAGTAATTATTTTCTTATGGAAAGGCTTCAGATTTAAAGCTTTTTAAAAACAAGGGTAAAGTTTTATGCACATTTCTGACTTTAAAATTAATATTGGTATTTCTTTTAATTCCTTTAAGTCTAAGAATACTTTTCTTCAAAATGCTATTAGCTAGTTACGCTTGCAAGAAATCATACTTAGATGTGTGGTTTTTAATTACCTTAAAATTGAATTTTCAATTAGATGTTGAGATTATGGTATATTTATTCATTAATGCTTGAATTTTTTTAAAACAAGTAAATATACTTGTAGCTGAGATTATTACTTACAGGTTTATGTTTGGGACATTAGTTCTCTGTAAATAAAGCAACGTGATACCTTTGAAAGTGTAACATAGCCATAAAGCCTATGAGATGGTATGTCGCCCTGTCCTCTGGCTAAGGGATTATCGGTATATTTAGTTGTGTATTTTTGTTCCTATGGAAGTTTTTGAGCATGTCACATAAACTACCTTAAATTAATTGCAGATGCTTTCCATCAATCTTTAATATCCAGGCTGTTATGACAACATGATGGATGATAACATGGGAGTCTCTCAGAAAATTAGTCTTTGGTGTCTGTATTCACTTCACGCAAAAACAACATATAATAGCAGACCAAGTCCAATTTTTCATTTAATAAAGGATTCCGTAAATTGTGGTTCTTAAATGAGATGAACCTCACTTAAGGACATTGGTAGTCATCAAACTGTAAACATTACTGAAAATGGGAGAATGGGTTCTCTTGTAACCTGCTTAGGTAATGGATGCTTTCTTTTTAAGTTTTGTATCCTGCATTCACTTCTTTAATTGTACTTGATCATTTTTTTAAGTTTATTTATTTTGAGAGAGAGAGCCTGCATGTGCAGGCTGCGTGTGCAGGAGCTGGGGAGGGCAGAGAGAGAGAATCTCAAATGGGCTCTGTGCTGTCCCTGCAGACAGAGTCCTAGGCGGGACTCAAACACACATGACCTGAGCTGAAGTCAAGAGTCAAAACACTCAACCAGCCAAGCCACCCAGGAGCCCCTGTATTTGATACATTCTTATACTGGGTATTTTCTACTTGCCTTTTCATTTAACCCTTATGGATACCTTTGGCCATTTGGGGTCTTTAAAAATTTGAAAAAAAAAAATTTTTTTTTTCAGGCCCCTGTCATAATAATCCTTAGTGAACGTTCAGATTCAGAAAGGAAGCTCAAAACATGTTATGTTCTTTATGTATGAAGTAGTGTTTTAGCTACCCTTGGGATGTATGGGGAGAAGTTCTGTTCCCTCCCTTTGAGAAGGTGAAAGTCGGGTTGGATGAAGAAGGGGTGTCTGTGTGGAACAACCAGAGACTGATGAAGGAGACGGGGAGACAGTGCTGCCTAGTGCGGCAAGACAGTAGCATATCGTCTGCTGCTTGTTCACTGTGGCGCAGCAGCAGTGCATCATCAGGAATGTAAAATCCGTATTTACTTAAAATTGAGGACAATATTAATACAACTTTGCTCTTTTATTTTAAAGCAAAAATTGGAAAACCAAACACAAAAATGCAACAAAAGCTGATCTCTCTGCTTAGCCAGAAGGTTTTATGTTAAAGCATCTGGCATATCTTTAAAGATGACAATATAGGGTTTTTCTATAATCCATCTCCTTATTCTTTGGGATAATATTTCATTTTCAAGAAGCACATGATCTACTTGACGTTTGAAATGAGACAGGGTTTTGCATATATCAAAGTAAAAATATAACATCCCATTGAAATGTTCCCTTTTAATTAAGTTCAAGTTCTTTTTGTACTAATTTTAATATTCTTGACCACTTTGGTTATTTTTCAGCATTGGTAATCTTTTTTTAGGTTATCTTATTTAAGATGAGTATTTAAGATTAGATTACGTTGTTCTTTCTGTGTCTTTCAGTCTTTCTAGAACCGTATAGTTGCATCTCTCAGTCTTTATGGCAAATGTCTGGGTTTAAGAAAATAAGAAAATATTAGAATGTAAGAGGTTACAGTTTTCCCACCAGTGTTTTCTGAGTTTTGCCTGTTCATTGTCGTGGGATTCTGTAATCTCAGTTTATGAAAACCCATTTAAATCAATTCTTTGCCAGATAATTTTCATATTTAAATTAGATTGTTCATAGTGATTCTTACTTTCATGAAACTTCTTGGCTGTTTTTAAATAGTTATGTAGTAATAAATGTAGGTTAAGTTACATTGCTATGATTTTCCATATGTAAGGTAGTAAGTTTGGGTGTGTTTATGTTTACCTTAAAATGGTTTCAGGATTTTCACTTAGATTTTAAACCAATGGCAGTTTTTGTGAACACGAATTTTCTAATATCGTTATTTTAGAAAAATACATGAGTATTTGTTTTATAATTAGATTTATTTCTGTTGTTTTTTTCCAGAAGGTATATTTTAATACCAGTACTTTATTTAATGGAATTATCTGTAATTCAATTTTTAACATGAGCCTATAGGTTTCCTTAAATCCAGAAAGCGATTTTGAGATGTCAGGATTTCTTTATCTGCTCAAGGCTATTTTGTGTTTGGTGCTTTAAAAATCATGTGGGATGCAGCAGCTGCTTACCAAAGTATAAGTAAGCTAGTATTTGTATAATAGCTTTGTTATTTTCTTTACTAAAGCAAGAGTTTGTTTCCTGATGAAAGACTTGAAATGCAAGAGGAAATAAGGGATCTGATAAGTGGGCATCACACCATTTCAATTAGATTTAGGCATTAAATCGAAAGCTATTAATATATGCCGTTGTTTTGAATGACCATTGTCAGTTGATTATCTAGTGGTCGCTAATATTTATTGAATAGCTTGATTATATATTTCCCTTCTTACCTTAAATAATTGCCCCAGTCCATTGACAATGCATATGGAGTTACTTCATGGGTATTACTCTAAATTTTGCTCTAAAGCAAGATCAAACTCAAACTCCTTGAATAGAGTTAGAATGTGACTAAAAAACTAAAAACAAAAAGCAAAAGCCATTTGGGTGGTGGTAATTAGTCACCATTAAGTTCATAGGCAATTAAGGATGAGGAATAGTCTGATTGTGTTAAAAAAAAAAAAAAAATCGGGCGTCTGGGTGGCTCAGTCTGTTGGGCGTATGACTTCGGCTCAGATCATGGTCTCATGGTTCATGGGTTCGGGCTGTCGGGCTCTGTGCTGGCAGCTAGCTCAGAGCCTGGAGCCTATCTTCGGATTCTGTATCTCTCTCTCTCTGACCCTCCCCTGTTCACACTGTCTCTTTCTCTCTCTCAAAAATGAATGAAAACATTAAAAAATTTTTTACAAAAAAAAAAATCAGCCTGAGAAGATAGCCCTAAACCATAACATATTTTTTGTAAGAATTTAAGGTAAATAGATTAGCGTATAAAGTATTTATAATATATCTGAGAACCTATTATGATACAGCATCCCTAATGAGGTTTCTTTGCTTAATTATGTGAACAGTTTTTATCATGATAGTTTACATTTTTTAATTCTATTAATTCTATTTTAAATACATCTTTAATACATCATGTCTTAGTTAACATTTGAGTCCCTATTCCTGGAAGATTTATGGTCCTCTATAGTCTTTGCCCTCACAGAGCTCAACTTAAGTTTGCAAAGTTTTTTTTAAGTAGAGATAAAGTAATGTTCATTCAACAAATATTTGAAAGTCAGCTATATTTCATAATTAGAAGGTCCCTACCCCTAATTAGCTTAGTTTAGTGGGTGAGGCAGGAAAATCAATAAAATTAATTATGCATAAAGTCTAATGGAAGCACTGAAGATGGAAATATTTGGAGAGATTACTAAAATTGTATGTCATTATTGTCCAAGGGCCATATTCTTCTCTATTCTAGTTTTATTTCACTTACTACATAGTACTCTGAGTCTTTTGCTTTTCTATTCTTTCTAAAGTAGACCTTAGGCATTGTCTAGTCTGAAATAATTTTTTTTCTTTTCTAGAAGATAGAGCAGAGCCTAAAGAGGTTTAGTAACATATAAGATCAAGAAGGCCAGCCGTTCTTTAAGTATGGTCTCTGGACTAGCAGTCTTAAGTATCACCTGAGAACTTACTATAAATACACATTCTCAGGGGCCTCTCTAAACTATTGAATTTCAGACTCTGAGCAGAGTCCCAGCAGCAGTCTGGGCCCCAGATGATTGTGAAGAATGCTCATATGTGAGAAGCACTGTTGTAGTTCAGTGATTATCTGTGCCTCCTTCACCAATCAAAGTCATGTTAATGATGTAAAAGAAAGTAAGTAAAGATAAGGAGTACCAGTGTAGCTATATTGTGGTAATGCTAGAGTAAGAACATCTGGTCTAGCATTGTATCTTCAGTATTACTTTGCACACTTCTAAATTCCTCAACAGCAACTTGTTTAGTCTATGATACTGATTCTGACCCCCTAGTTTTAAAAAGTTCACAACCCTAATGTAAACCTCAAGTGGAGTAAATAACTCAACATATTTTCAGGAAAGCTTCTTGGGTTTTTCTTCAGCTTTCCAAAAGACTGGCTCCAAATCATCCCTGGATTGTGGATTCCTTTGGAAAACTGATGAAAGCCATACCCTTTTCTTCAGGAGAAAAGTTACATGTATACACACATACTTGATATTGTGTATAATCTCAGAGATTTCATGGTCCTTTTTGGAGCTCATGGACCCAGGTTAAGAAATGCATAATTCTGATTTCTGCAGGGTTTTTCTCCTACTTTTTTGATTTCTTCCTTTTTCTGTGTTATAGTCTTTTTTTTTTTTTTTTTTTTGAGTTAAAAATGGCCTGCCCTGCCTCTCCTTCATATACAGACACTTGCACAGACACCTACACACACTTAAATGGCGGGGGGGGTCGCCACTGACATGTTTTCGTTTGTTTGGTGATTTGGGGGTCATGGGCCAGAACTTGCTGTGGTAGTTCCCCGTGTGTATTTGTTCAAGTACATTGAGGGTGTGTTGGGCAGAATAACAGTATAAATTCATAAGCATTAAAGATCAAATTCCTTCTAGTAAGCAAGTTGAGAGATTTAACATTTAGCAAACAAGACTCCCAGCTACACAAAAGACTTTGTTCTGGGACTTGATGAGGCAGGAAACTTGTGAGGTGGGAATACTGTCACTCTTTCCTCCCTCCACCCCCTGCCTTTTTTGCAGGGTTTGGAGGGAAAGCGGATTTAGAAATGCAGAGACCAGTATGTGAAGACTTCAGACAGCCAGATTTGAATGTAAATATTCTAGGTGTTAATCTTTCTTCAGATATTAGTAGTTTTCATGCTTTTGATTTTTACTGTATGAGATGTTTATGCATTTATTAATGTGAAAATCTGACAAAGTTAAATAATGTACACTATTTGAAAGATATTTAAAGTGTGGTGCCATTATGGGATTAATTCCTTTCCCTCAAAATATTTATTTTTCAAATGTCAGTGTCTTCCTGGGTATATGAGTAAAGTTTAGAAGTTAAATAACTAAAACTGCTTCCTATGCGTATAACATCTCAGAAATCTTTTTAAGTTGAGAGTGATAAAAATAGAAATTATTTTACTGTATTAATGCTGCCAATGAAATAAGATTACTTTTGGTATGTGACTTTGGAGATATTAAATGTAGCATTCTCTCTACAAGAGATACTATAGCTCCTGAGATTTTCAGTTACTGATAACTATCTTGGCAGTGTATTAATCAGATGTCCTCTTTCATGTAAGTAGGTTTAGATGGTATATTTATCATCAGTTTTTGAAAATTTGCATAGATCATACTGAGTCTTTTTTTTTTTTTTTTTCTCCTAGGATCGAAGCAGAATGTATGACAGTTTGAATATGCACTCTTTGGAAAATTCCCTTATTGATATTATGAGAGCAGAGCATGATCCTCTTAAGGGTAGGTGACTTTCTTTTTCTTTTATTATCCACTGCTTTGTGTTTATCTCACCATTTTTTATAGGAAAATGAGCACTAAGTAGCACCTGTGTTATGTATAAAATTGTACTATGTTAATAACAACCTTTGTGAAATGCCCTACTTTTACCTTTGTAGCTTATGTAGATATATGCTTGATTTATGCAGAAAGAAATGTAAACCTATGTCTCCTGTTATTTAAGAAAAAGTCACTGTCTAGAGATATCTTGCAGTTTACTAGAGGTTGAAGAATGGATCTGAACTTGTTTTGTTGAGGGGTGCTTGGGTGGATCAGTGGGTTAAGTGTCAGACTCTTGATCTCAGCTCAGGTCTTGATTTCAGGCTCGTGAGTTCAAGCCCTACATTGGGCTCCGCACCCAATTTAAAAATGAATGAAGAATAAATACATAAATAAACCTATGTGCACTGTATTAGCTGCAGCCCACACACTGGAAAAAAAATTACGAAGTAACTTTTCTAGAATTCTGTCAAAAACAGAAATAAATAAATAAATGCCTTGGAATACTTGTATTTACAGTTTGCAGTGATTCCAACCTGTAATTGCCCTGGGTTAATTTCCTTTCCCCACTTTTCTTTTACTATCATAGGATTTTGAAAGGGGATATTTTATAGGAGCTTCTCTGAGGGCTCATAAAAGTTGAGGTGAATTAGGAAAAAGAGTCCGCCCCACTGATCATACAGTATCAGTCTTATTGTTAACTATTTCTGAAGATACTCCATTAACATACTTTTTTTTATTTGTCTGTACATTACTTGTTACTAATTATTTTATGTTTGTACAATATATCTCTTTGCCTTTTATAGTAACGGTGAAAATCTAGCAAACTGTGTGCACTTGGGTAATAAGAGATATGTTATTTATTGCTGCATAATAAATTATTCCACAATTTAGCAGCTTAAAACAACAATAAACACTTACTACCTCACATAGTTCTGTAGGTCAGGATTCAGGAGCAGCTTAACTGGTTGGTTCTGGCTTCTTTGAAGTGAATGCAAAACCATGGGTTACTTGGTAATTTTTCCATATTTTTAATTTTATAAAGGCAAGTAAGAATTCCCTTATAAGATTTTAGCCCAGAACCCTAACATTTCAGTGTTGGCAGTAAGGTGGTGGCTTGAGGCTGTGTTGGCAGTACTGGTTCAGTTACCTAAACAATTTGTTCTGTTTCTGGATTTTGTTTGTAAAGGAGTATCTTGTCTCTCTAATTCCCTTATTTTTAAGGAGCTTAAGAAGTTCAAGGGATCATCATTAGGGATTGTTAACCATGTGTGGGGATGATAATCCTCCTCACAAACTAATAAAGACTATTATACTTTGTTTTTCTTTTGGGGGGTTTGATGGGGAGGAGGTGCTTCTAACCAAAACCCAATCTAGTTTTTTGAGTATCTGTATATGGGGTCTTTTTCTCTTTCACTGTTACTCCAACAGTCTCAGTGGCATTTATCTTAGATCCACTGTTTAATAATAGAATCCAGTAGTTTATAATTATGAAGAAGTACCCTTTGTTTACTTCTTTGGCTTACCTAGAAAGAAAACTCTTAGAAATTCTAATGTAAGATAAAGTCATCATCAGCTGTTAGCAGCGAATAATGAAAAGGTTTTCATTGTTGTTTCTCCCAGTCTTCTTTAAAAAGGCCTTTTGAAGGTGTTAAGGGAAAACATTCTCTGCTGAAGAACTATCTCAAGTTTTCTTTTTTTCTAAAGTCTATGTTATAATAAAACTGGAGGGAAACCTAGAAAGAGGATTTTAAAAAAGAAAGTGGAAGCAGCATGAGACCCAGAAGAATTTAATAATTAAAAAAACAAATCTCAAGTGAATGGAAAATTCTTTTTAGAATTTTAGAATTCATTTAGAATGGGAAGGGGGAAATGTTCTCAATACCACCTTTAGGAATTATGGTAACAAATCTCTGGGGTTTTCTTTTTTTATGTTTATTTATTTTAAGAGAGAGAGCAAGCAGGGAAGGGGCAGAAAGAGAGGGAGAGAGAGAATTCCAAGCAGGCTCCACACTGTCGGCACAGAGCCAGATGTGGAACTCAACCCCACCAACCATGAGATCATGACCTGAGCCAAAATCAAGAGTCAGAGGCTTTACTGACTGAGCCACCCTGGTGCCCCACAACTCTCTGTTTCTAATTGGGAGTATTTTATGTGCTACATTTATTATGGTAGGGAATGAAAAAGAAAAAAGTAAATAAAAGAAAAACATTGAGCAATCTTCTCTCTATAGAAGAAGTAAGACTGGTACTTCTGCATACTGCCATCACGTAGCTGTTTAAAATGATCCTGATACACCACGGCTGCTACTTAAAGACTTTTCATTTCTTACTCATACAGACTTCACTGCCTTCTGGAATATTCTGTCATATATCTTACTCCTCGTACTCTGATCGTGGCATGTTTCCTCTGGGTGGGACCTCAGTAAAATCTGCTAAATCAAGGTTGTGACAAGACAGAAGGAACCAGTCTGTGAACTTCCCCCATTTCGAGTCCTCGTCTTCAGGACAGCACTGCCGCCTCTGTCCTGTCTCTTCCATCTCATCTTTTCATTCTTTGCGGAATGAAAGAATGTTTCATTCTGTCCACTGTTTAATACAAGAAAATTGTTTCTTTTTTCCCCCAAAAATAGAATTAATCTTATTTTGCCCTTTTTAAATATTTTCAAAAGTCAGCCATGTGCTTTGTCTTCCTTACGGGATCTAATGGAAAGGGAGAAGGGAGTTGCAGTGTAAATTTTTTAATGAATTTCTTGTTTACCTTTCTATTAATGATGAAAGTTTCTAGGAAATTTTCCACATGCAGTTAAGTGATGAGAGATTATATTGTTATGTATTGCTCTGTAACAAATCACTCCTAAGTTTTAGCAGCTTAAAACAACAATAAACGTTTATTAGCTCCATAGTTTCTGTAGGTTAGAATTTAGGAGCAATTTAGGTGCTTGGTTCTTGCTGAGGATCTCGTGAGGTACTAGTCATGTGAAGGCTTGACTGGGGCTGGATGCTCCTTTTCCATGGTGACTAACTCATGTGGCTGGCAAGTTAGTGCAGGCTGTTGGCAGGAGAACTCAGTTACTCAACATGTTGAGCTTTCCACAGGGCTGCTTGGGTGTCGTCACAGTGTATTTTCTGGATCTCCCCACCACACACACCAGAACAAAGATCAGGCTTGAGGTGAATGTTCCAGGATCTTCTGTGACTTAGCTTCAGAAGTCTTACACCATCATTTCCATGACATCCTTGTCAGCAACATAGATCAGCCCTACTTAACTAGGGGGTGGGGGCTGCTACTCAAGAGATGTGAACACTGAAGGCAAGCATTAGTGGAGGGTCATGGAGGCTGGCTTCCACAGAAATAAAAGGCAAAACCTATAAATTTGCATTCAGTTTTACTTTTCTAAAGGAAAGAGAGTAAACTACTCAAGGTAAGAGCTAAGTCAGTAGAAAGAGGAACAATTGAGCAGCTCCCTGGAATCCAAAGGAAGTCTGGCAGGTTAGTGGCCTAAGAACTGACTGATTGTACTAACAGAGGCACCTTGCATTCCCACTGAAGCCCAGAATAGTTCACTTTACAGCTTCTTTCCATCTTCCCACTCTCCAGTGGTTTTTACAGGTCAGTAGTAGAACCTCTAATATTTACTGTTAAGGTTCTGCGGTTTAGCATAGTAGGTAGGAAGGGTCTTGTCTCGTTGGGCCCCGCAGATGTGAAGTGGCAGCAAACAAAGATGGAGCTCTGGATGCACGTTAGTCCATAGAGTGTGCCTACTTTTGTTCCAGCCAGTGTCCAAGACCTTGGCTGTAATTGTGCAAAACAGATATAGTCTCTGTTCTTATGGGATTTGTAGCCTACTAGAAAGAAAAGACCTTATATGTATAGCGTACACATGTACGTGTGATATACTAGTGTTTATATACATATAATCTATAACCAGAGTGTTAGAAGTACTGTGGAGGGAGATGATAAGGTGCTTGGGTAGGTCATAAGCAAGGGGAGAGAGGTACTTAATTCATCTGTGGAGTGAAGAAAGCAAAGACCTTAAGCTTGAACAGCACAAAGATGAAAACTACCGGGGGAAAGTGTTAACGAGACAGAGGAACTGGGCTATATGCAAGAGTTTGTCACATTTGAGGAACTGAAAGCAGACAGGTCCTGGCATAGCTCGTTTAGGGCTACCTGATGCTGATGGGGTGTATCTGCTCAGCCAGTTCTAGGGAGCGTGTACGGTCATCTGCTCCAGATCATAAGCACTAACACCCCATTTTATGCTTTCCTTAGTATTCGTGACACTGATCTGTTTTTATTTATTCTGCATTGGTTTCTTGCCATTAACATCTCATTTTGTGATGACTGTCTTCATTCTTGGCAAATACTTTTCTTTCAAAGGAAGAACAAATATGGATTCTTTTAATTGTTAAAGTAAATTACGCTTTGCCAACTGCAGTTTTGTGATTTTGCAGTTTTGTTTTTGCATACCTATATTAAATAATCTGTGATCTTTCTGTGTATGTGTGGGTCAATTCATTCTGCTTTAAACAAAAGAACAAGACAGTGATTATTGTTAAGCTTTCTTCCCTCCCTGCCCTCAGCAGTTTGCAAAAAGGTCTTACTCTGTAAGCATTTTTACCAAAAATTGCTTTTCCCCCTTCCCAACCGTATAAGAGTAAGCAAAAAAAAATTTAATTTCAGTTAAAAAAAATGATTTGAAAACTGTGGGAAGCAATGCAGTTTAATATAACAGTTCTTGGAAGTATTTGCTTTAGCAAGTCACAGTGACTTTCCCAGTGTTTCCTAAACAATTTAAAGGAATTCAGGAAAAAGGATTTAAGAGTATGATTTTACGCGAGCACATATTTAAACATGGATGCCTTTAAAATTTATTTACTATGTATTTTCATGTCTAGCATAATTTTTATTACCTGACTGTTATGCTCCTGTCTTCCAAGACTCCTGAAGTAGAACGTCT